GAGCGCCCGGCCCGCTTCCTGCTGCCGGGCCGCGCCGGGGGGCGGCCGCGAAGGGGCCCTGCCGTGAGGCGAGCCGGGGCGGCCCCGGCGCGTGCCTTCGGTCCGTCAAGCGCTGAGCTTGTCGGGCTTCCCGCCGGCAGCTCCACTGTGGGCGGGCGTGAGGTGCTTAACGCCGCCTGGAACCCCTCACAGCCGTCCCCAATAAAAGGAAACGGTCGGGTTCGTCCCACGTCTCCCGGGACAAATCTGAGTGTTCCACCTCGCCCCGTCTGTCGGGGTGAGCGGGCAGTGGGGGAGGTACGGCGAGGGTAGCGGGGGATCCTCAGGGGGAGCAACAAGTTCAAGAAACAGCAAAGCATGGCCTATAACAAAGGGTCGAAGAGAATTGACATTGTTTGCACTAAAAAAACCCACAAACCCACCAAAAAAAAAAAATCAGAAATATTTTCCAGGCTTTGAAAGCATGGAAGGGGCTGTGGTGCAGCAGAGGCAAGAGCTAGCAGTGATTTGGAGGAAGGAGATGGGCAGAAACAGCTCTGTGATTTACCAGCTGGGGAAGCTGCGCAACATCTTTCCGTGAGGTTTTCAAGAGCTGGTTACGGGCAAGGGCCAGGAAAGGGAACAAGGCAAAGATAGGGAAGATGATGGGAGAAGGAGAGGATGTGGCCGTGAGTGGAAAGGCAGAGGCAAGAGAAGGAGAGCTGAGCTGCGATCCAGCATTAGTGAATCCAAGCCTAAAGCGGGTAACCCACTTGCTTGGGTCACTCACAAACTAAGTGGTTATTAGTTATTACTACAGAGGAAGGAGGTTGCCGCATGCATGGTTTTCCCTTTGTGTGAATTTAAGGAACATTTCTCACCACAGTATAGCAAATTTTCAATAAGCTGTTCTGTTGCTATAAAAGTCTTAATAACATTTACCTACCTGTAAATAAGTAGTGTTTTGATCAATACAGATATTTTGATGATAAGAGGCAAGCTTCCCCCCACAGTGACAACAGAACAGCTCATGCATCTTGTAGACTTGCTAGGCTGCAAAAGTGTGTCTAACAATTTAATGTATTTAAACAGTGAAAGATAACAGCACAGCATGACACAGCTCATAATTCATATTCCATGCAGAATGGGTGTTTTAAAAAAAACCAACCCAGCTAGTACATTGTCCATCTGCATATTTCTATTTTGGTGCTGTTACCAGAGTAACCACGACACTTTATGCCAACTACTGTCTCTACTTCTGAATCTGCGAAGGTCTGGATGAGAGATTAATACAGATTACTTTAATAAATCTACCAATTCTATGATCTATAAAGAGCGAAGTGTATGTACATGACAATGTATTTCAGACATGGAAGAAGTGTTTAATTTGAATTGCAAGTGCGTAGCTGCTCGCAGGATCAGATTCCACAGGGTGTCCTGCCCTACCAAATACTAATCCCTCTCCCTGCGTTCCCCAGGAAAGCACAGCAGTTTTTATTCTTTCCGCAGCTGAAGAAAAGCAGGCCAAGGAAAAAATACTAGAAGTACAATTGCCTTTAAATAAAAGGAAATTGTTCTCCCCAAAAGTGTATGTTTGGTTTGATCTCCCCTGCCTTGACACATGTTTAAAGACAGTGTGTAAACATCTCTTACCTTAAACACATCTCCTGCAGTCCAGCGGGACGGTGCAGGTTAGAAATACCTGCACTGAAGAAGCCCCAGTGTTAGCTCAGGACACAGGCAGCTGACATTCAGGACATCAGTAAAAACTTCTTAGGTAATCTTTATTGGCAACTTAAGTAGTCCCTAATTTTTACTGTTAGCGTTATCGTGTAACCAAACTAAAACCAGATGATCTAGTCTCAGATTTCAGCACTATGAGAAAAACTACATTTTATTCATGCATGTTATTTTCAATCCCAGACAGAAGAAAACTAGCTTATAAAGACCTTCTGAGCCTAAAGAATGACTTAAGAGTCTAAAAAGATTCCCCCCCGTTTTACACCTGAAATTCCTTATTTGGAATGAACAACTTCCACTCATAATCAGTAGTACTGAAAATCCACACCAAGAATTGCATCCTTTCTATGCCACCATAATTATTTCCATCAGAGAAAAGAAGAGAAACGCCACTCTCAGAAAAAACCCTTTCCCAACCAAAACATCAACATGAAATAAAATCGGTAACTCAGCTCAGGTATTCCTAAAGCATTTCAAAGCCTTAAGGAACAGAGATGTTTAATATAGGCTTTGAGCACATTAGTTACAAGGTGGAAACTGAAGCTAAATAACCATTAGCACGGAAAAGAAACTGCTTGAATAATAGTATACATACATATATGGAAATCCTTTTCAAAGGGATCATGAAATTATCCCTTCCTTCCCCTTCCTGTTCTCCACCATACACTTCTAAACACAAATGATGTGACTCACAAGGAGACATCCAAAACATCTTCCATTCCAAGGCCGTTTCTCCTGACTCTCCCATTGCATTAAGTGCTGCTTTATGTTTTTTTCATGTTTGTCGGCCTCTTGGCTTTTCAGTAAATTTATTCCAACCTGCCAAATCTGCCTTTTTCTGTTCCTTTCCCTGTATCTCCTTATACAATTAGATTTGCTCTTCCATTAGCTTAACTTTGAATTACTGTCTAATTCTGTTAATTTTGCATAAAATAGCACAAACAGAAAATAGGTGCCTTGTTAGGTAGGCAGATTTAGAAGGGTGGCTATCCGCATTAGAGATTTCAGAGAACATATTGCATAATTTTTAAAGGACTAAGATTGTAAAAGAGACTAGACTCTGCTCACTAAACAGTTATGTCATCCAAAAAAAGTCACTAAGGAGGGGATTTTGGGTTCATTGATCAATAAACAAGCTTCAAAGGGATGAAGGAATTTTTAATAGGTTGTGTTAATTTCTAAGAACTAAGAGAGAACACTGACCCAAACACTGAATGTAAATACATTTCTAAGAGATTCAGTGGGCGGTAGAGTAATAGGACAGAATAAAGCAAGTGACAAGGAAAAGGAAGTGGCTTGACCAAAGAAAATTTTACCCTGCCCTACGTAGTGTCTCTTTCAGTGCTTCGTATTTTCACAGCTTTTTGGCTGGAGCCTGGAACAAGACAGCAAGATAACACCGTGACACCTCTTGATTTAAGTGACATGGGGAACATCGTTCCTGAAACCTGCCGTCTTTGCAAGACATACGCACATGGCAAAGATGAGGACATGTGCAACAGCCTGGTGGGACTTCTATCTCCCGGCAAGAAAATGATCCAAAGCATAGAAAGACTGGTATTTAAGAATTATTTATTAGTACAAACACATCTAGCAACTTTTCCCCATGTACTAACAGCCTTATCTGAACACCAGTAAATACCAGTTGATGCTAGCAAGAGATACCCTAGCCCACTGGATATTACACAGCGGGGAGAACAGCCAATTCAAATCCAGTTTCAAAGGTGATGTTTAAAGAAACTAGTGAAAGCCTTCCTCATATGCCATTATGCAGCAAGGCCACATTTGCATGCATTAATGAAGGACTGTAAACCTTACTTTTGAATTATATTTTCAAGCTCAACACCCTCAAAGGTACTGAGTCAGGTTTTAATATTTCCTGGTGGTAAAGACTGCGAGGGTAAACATGGGTAACTGCATTTAAAAGCATATTACTTTCACCATTAATATGCAGCTTCAGCACATGTTGAGACTGGACTTTCAAACTTACATGTATTAGATCAATTTTTTTTACAAATAGACTTCTGTCTAGAATAAGTGCCATTGTTTTGCCTTATTTACGAATCCTTAATTGCAGACAGCTCACCGTGAAGAGCTGGTTATCAGTATAGTCTTCATTCACCTTTAGACTCAGCTCAGGTAAGTTATGAAAAGTGTACATGTCTGTCTTAAGCACTAGCAAGATCAGATGCATGTAAATACACTATTAAAAAAAATAATCCTGGAACCAAACATTTTTTCTAGCTCTTTGATGAAGAATCTGAAATTAGTTAGTCATCCACTTGTACAGGCCAATGTCAGCTTTAAAAGTAGACCAAATTTTCTCTCAGTAGTTTAAATGTAGATTTTAAGTCAATTTTTTTAACTTTTTAACTTTTTAACTTAAGCCAGAGCAATCATACTAATTTCAGTTTAAAAGAATGGATTATTTCCTTTCACATTACTTACTTAAGATGAAGGTCTAACTATATACATATATATTAAAACACACATATTAAAACAGTAAAAGACATTATTCAACTTTTTTTTTTGCCCCTGAATTAGGGTGGGCCCTTAGTAATACTAACCTTGATTTTGTTCACTTTGGATCTATATGCAAATATCAGAGCAAAGCTAAAATTTGTTACAGAGAGAATATTCTTCCCATTTACATTGTTTTAATAACAAAAAAAAAAAAATGTTCACTGAGTAAAGGGAGTTTCCGTACAGCTTTGTGGCCTTGATTGCATGAGTAATTTACTGTAGAGGTCTCAACAGACACCTCAAAGTTGTTGTTCTTGTCCATCTGTTACTACTCTTTTCTAAATGGGATTAAAACTAGGTTAAGAGAACTTCCTCCCTATTGAACTACATTTTGGGGTAACATTTTAGGATTTTGGTCACGCTAATGGGATGCACAGAAACTGGATGTATGGAACAAGCGACAACCACAAGGTGTTCAGTAGCCATACTGCGACGCACGATAAGCCAGTTCGGGCTGGGTTTAGGCAAGGCAGACTCCAAGGCATGCCATGCCATGGGTGCCCTTGACACCCCACTCTCCCTCAAAGGCCGTAGTTTTTTTATTATAACATGAGTTTGCTCATCTGTAAGTTCCCAGGTGAAGACAGCAGTCCTAGTTCAGTATCAAGCACCTCAAGTTAGGAACTTTTTTGACACAAGAACACATACTAGTAATGTCCCTGCCTACTCCAAGTGCTTTCACTATTTGCTTTCATGTTTCCTTCCTCTACATATCATTGGGAGAAAAGGTCTTAACGGTAATCTGGTGTAGCCACAGTGACCTCCTCAGCCTGCAGATAGTCCAGGAGAACACCCAAACCTCCTCAGGCACAAGGAAGTCTTCACAACCTTTCAGCTCCAACCTGTCCATGCTCTCCCAACACCTGGAAGCTGGATATCAGATGGGTCTAGTTCATTTCCCTGAAGTTTTGGGAGCATGGTGGACTGAAGGCAGATGCCCTTTTACTACTGCTATTTTGTATTAACTCTAAGTTTTATTTGTTTTGTGTTCCATGAAGTTTGCATCGGGTGCAGCAGGCCTCAGCACTTAGAGCATCTGCAACCTCACATTATCAGGAAAAAAACCCAAAAAACAAAACACCATCTTGTCTTCCAAACATATACGTGCCATCAGTCTGCACCTGCTGAAACCCACGCTAGCTTGCTGTGTGGCTCCGTACTTTCTGAAAACAGCTTTGTAAGCCACTGCAGGAAGAGGATACTACTATCCATTAAAGTTACATTGGCAATCTGTGTCTCAAAGTCCCAGCTTAGTCACGCATTTAAGTGCCCAATTTCCTCCATATACCAATTATGCACACGTTATGAGTATGTTCCAGTTGGTATCAGCAAAGCTGTCCTGTGCATTGCAGATAACAAACATTGACACGCACATGTTCTGCTCCCTGCTCATTCCTTATAAACGTACACGACATTACCTCTCCATGGTTTCTAAACCTGCCTCACTTGTATATCCCATTGTTCTGTAGTTCCCAATCCACCTGTTAGCCTCTCTGACCGCCTCCCCTGGAGTATGAAGAATTAAGCAATAACAAGGAGACTTTAAGCTTTCACATAGCAAAGTAAAAAACTGACTCAGGGCTGCACGTGGTGGTTAAGTTTAAGTAACTCCACAGCTTGAAGCTCTGTTGAGGGAACAACTGCCCAAGAAGCCAGTTTCTGGAGAGGACCTATTATTCACTACAGGACTAGGAAACCTTTTACATATACACTGTAACCACATGAATATTGACAGGAAAACTACTGATGTAAGTAACTTAGAACTTGTGTGCCAGACAAATTACCATGTATGAAGAAAGGGCAGTTTGTCTGCAGAAGCCCAAGCACCAACCACTTAGAGCATCTCCTTAGGCACACAGGGGCTTCAGCTGTAGAGGTAAGCAGCTAAAATTTTGAATTTCAAGCATTAACTGCTGCTTTGGGTATAAACTCTGTTGATCCAGCCCTCGTGTTAAGTCAGAAAGGTACATAGTCAGAGTGGTACTACAACTGCAAGACGTTAAAAATGCAAGTCTCCACTTTTTAAAAATAGATAAATAAGAAAGATTTATTTGAAGCAGGTTTGGGTTTTTAAAAAAAAAAAAAAAAAAACCACCAAAAACCAAACAACAAACCAAACAAACATTCTCTTTAGGGTTAGTCTTTGTTTTCTGCCCTGAAGCCAATCTGCAATCTAATGAACCAGAAAATTTCTTATTTCAGGACTCAACACCTTTGCCATTAACCCTTAGTGTCTGATTCACCTTGCCTTATAGATTTCAGAATTGCAAGTCTACCTTCAGGAGCCATAAACTAGAAGCAAAACCTAATGAAGCAAAGTACTGCAAGTACTCCTTCTAATCAGTGCCACAGAAGTGTTTGTTCTCTGGAGAAGATATGAATGCTCGGAAGGAAGATCTAGCTTCTACCTCCTATTCCCTGACTGTCAAACTTTATCTGAATGATTTCATAGCACAGTGCTTTAAACAACTGCTTGCGATTCTTGACCAACCACATCTGCAGAACCACAAAGTATCTGGAAGCCCTACAGGAACCCACTCACCAGAGGAGACCTTCTTGACACCACTGTAATACAACACGGTTTTCTCCCTGTAGTTCATCTCGTCTATCTCCACAGCGATTACGAAAGGCAGACCAGATTGTTCTTATCTTCAACTGTTGGGTTTTTATGTCAGTGTCACAGTGCTGACAGCAAAGCAAATTCAAACACAATCAAGAGCAGCCATGAGATCATTGTTCACTGACAGATTTGGTGGTTTGGTTTTTTTTTTTTCAAGTGTTAGTGCATTTAATAACATCTAAAGAGTTTCATAAACATACCTCCACAGAATTTAGCATTGTCGAATTGTGCTTGTTCTTGCTTGCACAGTAAGATTAAAGGTATTTGTTAATACCTCAAACATTTTCTGTCTATACAGAGTGGAAGCTACAGAGGCACCTGATAGTCCAATACAGCAAGACCATACAAATGGTTGCCCGGGTTGCAAGTTATCCTACTACAGGCTAACTTGAAACGTAGCATGACACCACACAATTGTTATAAAGCTGCTCTACAGGAGGTAAAGAGACATATTAGGTTGTGAAAAAGCCAAATACCTTTTCTATATACTGACTGCAGGTTTATGCAGCATTATGGGATAGTCAGTAAAGCCTATCAGGGACATCAAGGGATAAGACAGACAGCGTTTCAAATAACAGCTACTCCCCCACCTCCCCTTTTTTTTTTTTTTTTTTAAGAACACAAACATATACTGAGACTCTGATGAACAACATATGGAACACTTGATCCTGCTCCTCTTGCAAGTTATTTTACTTCCAACTACAAAAAGAAACGATAAAATGCCATCAAGTCAGAGCAATAATGTTTCATTGCCACGTTGTGTTGATATAAGGTCTTCACAGCCTACAACATAGATTAAAAAGTTGGATCCTTTGGTCTTATTTGAGCTTGACTGGAATAAAATACAGCAAAACCCAACAACCAACCAAACCCCACAATGGAGTAATAGCTTGCATAGAGCTGACAGCAAAGATTTGATGTGAAATTGTGCTCTCTAGTGGAGAAATTTGATTTTGTGCAATAAAAGTTCAAACCATCCTGATCCATCCACTTGACCAACAGGTTTTCAGTGCAGAGAAAATATCAAGATTTTCCACAATACGAAAAGAGCGCAAATGCCTAGTTCAACAGATTTATTATAACGAAGATAGGTTTATACCCAGTTACATGACAGATTACAGCTAGATAAGGTTTCTAAATAGACAACAAAAAAATACCTAAGCATGCTTTTATGTTTGTTTAGGTTATAAAAGTAATGGTATTCTTAATGCAATAGCAAAACGTTTCCTTTTAATGATGTGACACTTTAATATGGTCCTATATAATACTATATTTTGATGAAAATAGGTTAGTTTTACATCAGATTGCGCTGCTGACACGATCACCAACTCCTTTATTTCTAGTTATGCATACACCACTAATCTTAAACATAGTGAATGGGTCTTCAGGAAATACTAACTCCCATGTAATTTGTTTTCTTACAGTGTTAACAAAATACAACCCATTTTCTTCATAACAGCTGCCTACCACTATTTTTTCTGGGCATGTATGGACCAATGAATGCATTAACTCAATTTAATAGCAGGTGAAGTAGAATCTATTCCTTAAAACAACTTGGCCACTTTATGCTTCCTCAACAGTATACAGGATTTAGCTTCTTTGAACTCTGTACTTAACTAGGCTGTTGGAATAAATCTGAAGTTAGAAGACAGAAATATGAAAGACTTAAAAAAGCTAAATGTACAGCTAACTCATGCTAATTTTAAAATATATTAAAATTTGGCATGCATTCTAATTCAAGAGTAAGGATCTAGCAAGACATGGATATTAGATTTCTCTTATGTGGTTGCAGAATGCTATGACGAGCTGTTGACTGCTACAGAAAGTAACATTCTCTCTTCCTCTTTGGCCCTTAAAGATGAAATATGGCGGGGGGGAGGTTGAATGCATACAGAAACACAGAGCTACTTTTCATGTTTTAAGTTCCCTGGTATACTCAGAAAAAACAGCCTAACAATTCAGCAAAGCCAGCAGTCTAGATTTAAGAAGTATCACAAGCCACAAACAGAATCAAACAAGTTAAAAGATTTGCCAGCTAGACTTTTTTTTTTTTTAATGGAAAAAAGTTCATAACTGATCTTATGCATAAAGCAAGAAGAAAGACTCTCTCACTTCTCCTTCACCGACTTCCAGCGTAACTGGTGCTGATATGGCATCAATTCAAACACTTGTATTTAGTTGATCCCATGATAGCAAGCAGATTTCCTAAGTTTCTGCACTGGTACTCATTCAGAATTTTGGACAGTTGTCAGTGATTGGGTAAAAGAAAAACCTACCTCTATTTAAGCAGTTTTGTCATAGTCCTTATTAGTCTTTCTATTAAGTGATAAGTAATAAACTTTAGTTTGGTTATGGCTAAATATTTATGGGTATTTATTTAAATATTTATGAAGTGCCAGAACTCTGCAAGACACTGTTTCCATTTAATATTCTCCTGCAAGTTTTCACAATATTCTTTAAATTTCTGTCCTTCACATGGCTGTATCACTTAAACCATACTTTCTATTTAAACCATATGCAAGAAAAAAATTCAGTTAGTCTTAAAAAAAAAACCCCAAAACCCTAGTCTTTCTGGATCCTTAATTTCAAGACAAGTGAGATATCCCTTGAAGTCCTGTGTAGTCACTGTTACAGATAGGTAACAGAGAGAGCGATTTTAAATATGTTTAGTTTTAAATTCAATAGTAGTCATGCCAAATTAATACACAGTTGTGAGCATATTGTAGCACCACTTGAAGTTAACTGGTACATATTAATAGCTCTGTTGTAGCAATACCCATCAGTCACACTAGTGCATGTATGGAAGGGAGGCAGCCCAGTAATTGACAGAAATGTCTGTTTTTCTAAGCCTCATTCGAGAGTGGGTATATTTGCAAAACCTCCATTTCTAGCTACAAAAGCGTTATCACAGCAAGGCAGAAGTTTCACTGGGTTTTGCAGACTCAGCTAACTGTATTATGTTAGAGTTTTGTTCACCATGAAAAGACATTAAAAAAATACCAAAGTACAACTCAGTAGATTTATGCATTAAGTTGTAAGCCATCTAAAAAACAGGTTCAAAGTTATATTAAAGGCAGTAAGATCCTACTTAGCAATTGAGTTTAGCCCATGTAAGAAGTACAAACGTGGTATCTTCCAATTAAATCATTTCTTAAGGGGAGAAGCTGACAGAGGTCAAAATCCCAGACAGTTCATACTGACTTTCAATCCCACCCTATAAGACAACTTTGTGAGGTTTCTGGGACACAGCTAGGAAGTCACCCACAGTGAGAAATTACAGGTGCTACTACAAAACTACCGTGATGGGCCATTTTAAGGATAATTTACAATAACTCCTTCAGAAACTATTGTGCTAAGAACACCAAAGCTTGCACTGACCTATTTATAATTCAAGTATTCTCTCTACTCCATGATAAAGAGCTTTCTGAGAATATGAAAGCACAGTCCAGGAGGTCCTCGTAAGACAGAGCAGACTTCAGCCTTCTCTCAGTTTCCTATATCTCAACAGTTGCAGAAGTGCCATTTGTGTAGCCACCTTTAGACTTCATGTGGTCCTGAACTGATACAGCCTAGGAAAAAAGCTTATTAGAACATGCATCTGATAAAGCCTGGTTGCCAGAGCAATTATTAAAAGCATCACTTTGAAGAGACAGGTGAGCCATATGTTTGCAGCGCTGGGTCCCAACAGCAGTAGGGAGAAATAACAACTAAACCCAGGATTGTTAAATACTATTTTAAGTCAGAGCATGAGATGGGTCTTGCTATCCAAAATCCGCTTATTCTTACATCATTCACCCTGGGACAACTTTGACTTCAGGGTGATGTGTTATCTAGACCTAGTATCAAGTGCATCCACAGAACCCTTATCCAAAAGGTTCTCATCGTATGTAGAGATACTGGGGAAATGAGCGCTTCTTGCTGATTATATCTTCCACAGTATCTTATGTTTACAAACCAAAGGACAGTTCTGTGCTGATGCTATTCTATTGATTAAAAAAAAAAAGTCAGATTTTTCTCTCTCTTACAGTTGTCTAGTATTTTATTAGCTACCTGCTCTACAGGTTACTGAGTGGAGATTTCTGCTTATCCAAGAGGTGCACACTTACTGATGAATAGTCACTACTCATGTCTCTTGCCCCAACATGCGCAGTGTGTACAAAGTTCATTGGTTCTCCTATCATATTCCGGTCCAGTCTCCGACGCCTCTTCTATAAGAAAGAAGATATCTTAGGTCTCTATTCAGAAAACATGAGCAGCTTTCAGAAAGAAACAAGCAGCTGAGTTAAAAAAAAAAAAAAAAAGATGGTCAGTAGTGACCCCTAATGACTCCTCATTGCAACTGGGCTGAAGTTTCAGACTGTTTGCAGTAAGAGAGGGTCAAAGTCACTTTTATAACTGCTAATTGAATTTTAGCAAAAGCCTACTTTAATGTTGGAAAGTCAGGGCCTGAGAACTGCAAATAGTCATATGGCGAAAGCTTCTTACAAAACATACATAGTTTAAACATAGTTCAACATGTCAGTTTTTAGCATTTGCATTACTTAGCCCAAACTAATTAAAACAACATGACAATGAAAGTGTTTTCCACATAACTGAAAGACAAAATTTCAAATCTGATAAAGGATGGCAGTTGTGCATCTACCTACCGGTTGAGGCTGTTCACCATTGCACCAATTAAAACAAACCAGGAATTCAGTCATTATATTTTTCAGTAGGTAATAAGGTCTTGTTAAGTGTAATTATTTCTCTGGGAGTTAAAGCTGTACAAAGACCAAGATGCAGTTTCTAAAGCAAGTTTAGGAAGGAATTGTTTGTGCAGATTCACTGGTAAAGATCACAGAAAGCATCCGATAAGTACACCTGCAAAGAGATTATTATGTAAATTTATACTCAAATATATCAAAATCTTGTAACAGTTATTGGACAAGAGACATTTCAGAAAACTAAAACAAGACTGTAAAATTCTTAAAATATACCTGGACAGAAGAGTAGCATCAATTTGAAATCAGTACATTCATATCAGAAATCAGGGTTAAGAACTCTGCACATTTACTCCCAGGCAGCCAATAGTATAAGTTCTGGTTTCTTTACAGAAGCATAATAAAAGCAATGCTAGAATTAAGTCATGTCTTACCAGTCTGTGATCTGGTTGTAAGTAGAGCTGGCCAATACTTATGGACTGTTTAGTATTTTGAAAGAAAATAGCTTTGAAACACAACAGATTAAATGCTTAACATTTACAAACTGGCCCAAAAGGAAGTCTCCATCTTACATCTGATACACTTACTCTTCTCAGACTTAAAAAACGTCAAAGTAGAGAGTATTCTACAACTCCAAAAAGCCCTTAGAAGAGGGAAAGAGCTTTGTATACCAGCAGCAGAAACTGTTCATCAGACAGAGCCTAGAGCTTCCCAAAAGGTATAAAAGTATTAACACAGCACTCCTGAACTGGATACACAACGAGGGAACTCACTGACCTTAACTGCCCTGAAGCTATGATAAGGAACAACTTTTTAGTGGTTACTGACTTTTTTTTAAAAAAACTTCCTTCAAATCAAAACCAGGGCTATCGAGTAGCCTTCCCTATCAAGTTTTTCAGACCCCAGATCATTAAAACAGTATTTCAACATGTTAATTTAGAAAGAAGGGGTTTTTTTTCAAAACTTACAGCTTCACAGAAGTTACAGCTTCATGAATTCAGTCTTTCTGAACCCCCACTGAAGTCTTCACAACCAAACAGCATAAGCTTCCCCTTTCACAGGCATTTCTTACGTAGTTCCACAATTATGTAATTAGCACATCTATTTCTTTCACCTTTGTGTTTTTCTTACACTTCATCACTTCTCACACTTCAAGCAGATTTCTTAAATTTCTGACATTTATCTATCAAAGCATTTGTTACATTTGCCTCTTAGCTTTAGGTGGCCTATATGATGCATTACTGCAGAATGTGTCATATATTATTCCATTTTATCCTGAGTGGTATTAATACAATTCATTATCTGGCTCAATTATCATTTTTCACCTCACTTCATTGTCTCACAACGGTCCTTATCACCACTGACACCTTGTTTGGGTGCAGCAAAGAAGGGACAGTGGCCCACACAACCGTAAGAACATGCAGAAGCCAAAGCTTTTGCCTACACTTCACATTATTTGCAATTTTTGGAGGTTATGTTAAGGAGACTGCATCAAAGCCAAGATTTTCTTAAAAATCATAAAGTGCATCACTGTATGCTAATAACCTATTTTGAAAGCAGGCTGACTGAGACAAGCATCAAATTAGAGAAACATCCCCATCCCAAAACAATGGTTGAACGCCTACTCTCCTCTCACCATACCCCCCAGCATTTGGCCATCTAACTCCGTGGGGCTCCGTGTGTACCTAGGTCTTACCTGCTGCTCCCAGTGAGTCCTGACGGGATGGTCTGTCCTCATTCAAGCACTGGCACGCAGCCAGCTCCTGTCTTGGCAACTCCAGCACATTTACAGTTCATATTCCTGGGTTATAATTGATCCTCATCACTAAACAAGAATGCTTCACTGTGATCCCATACCCTGCGACCGTTCCTTCGCTCTGTGAGGCGCTGCGGAAGTCTGTTGTGCACTTCACGCTTACCTACAGGTGTCAGAAAAGCAGAACGGAAACCAAAAATAGCGCCCTAGTTTGGCGTCAGATTTGTGCAGCCGTGCAGTTTTCTCAGCACTATCCATACAGCCTGTGGCTCACTTCCACCCCTGCGGCAGCTCTGCAGGTGTCCTCCTGGCACACAGCAGCACTGGACGCCTTCCTGTTGTGTTTTACAACAGAACTCTTCTTTTCCTCTGCAGGAGTCAGAGTATCATCCTCCAGGACAGGAATGTCTGCACCAGGGCATGGGACACCACCTTCCTCCCACAGACTCAAGGTTTCCACGCTAACTGGAAGAATTTTAAAAACATCTTAATGCCTTCATGCTTGCCCAGGACTAATAAAAGCCAACAAGAATAACGAAAACGAGGAGAAAACAACATTTTGTCACTGTTGGCACACAGACCAGAATTGGACAATATCCTGTTGTTCTTTCTCTCTATTTTTCACCATAGCAGCAGTATCATCGAGGAGAGAGAGACAAAGGGCCAGGGAAATGGCTAGCACACGCAGACACAGATGTTGAATGCGATGGGCAGGATGCACAGCCATTCTGGAGTCCGCAGCCTTAAAGCGCCTGAATGTTTATATGCACTTTACAAAGCATAACATTCAATTTGTTCCACCATTGCTGCGTGTTAAAAAGTATTAAAAACATTGTTGTATTTTACTTACAAAATATTGACTCTGTATGAAGTGGAGAATGTTTGCCTGAATCAAAACAAAAGATTTCTCCCTTTCCAGACAAGAGAGATGCACGGTAATCTTCATAAACTAACATACCTATTCTTCACAATTGGCCATCAGACTCAAGGTCTGATCGTGACAAATCCTTGACTCCGAGCTGTTAATGAAAGACAATGAGTGTAAAGTTAGTGTGTATTATCACACATCAGACGCAGACTACCATCACCCTGCCCCAACTGAGTTGTTAAATTGTGATAACTTCTGAGTCCAGTTGTTGCCATTTTCATTCCAGCTCTCTCAGTACTGAATTGATGCGAGAAGCATATTTCAGCCTAATTGTCATTCTATAAACCACTGCGCTTGTAATTTGTTCATTATCCTTACTTTGCTCATTTGATATTTGCATCATGTTAAAATACTGAAACACTTTTATGTTTACATATTTGAAGAGCAAGGTATGGTAAAAAGCAGTGGAAATTGTATTTCCAGATCAAAAAGCAGTTTTGAACACAAAACTTGAAGAGTGCATCTTGCTTGGTCAGTGAAGAGTAAAAAACAATACATTACCAAGACTTTAGAAGAACTTAAAGCCAAACAGCTGAAATCCTGCTACAGAGTGAGCTTGACTGCTTGGAAACGGCATCCTGATTTTACTAGTATATGTACAGATTGAAAATTTAGTTTGAGATGTCCTCAAATTACATGACAACACTATTACGTAGTATGATTATATATTGGCCTTCTGTCATCCTGGAGCTTCATAGAAAGCTGAGAATAGGGTTCTACCTGAGACCTCCATTAATCTAAGTGTGTTGGTATTGTTAATCTAAGGAATTTGAGTGTAGCCTCTGAGATTTGAAACTTCTCCTTTTAAAAGCTAAGTAGACACACACATTAAAACAAACAAACGAAGAACCATCAAGGCAGCTCCTCTATTTCAAAGTGGAAATAAGCTAGTCACAAAATAAAAAAAATGCATTTTTAACTAACTGTCCATTCCCCCTCAAAAAAAAAGAAAAGCCGAGAGACCAAATGATGTGTTCTGTTTGGAAGTTAAAAATAAATGTGAGAAAAAAACAACTGAGATTTGCCTGGAATCTTACCAGAAGAAAATTAGTAAAACTCATAAAAAGATGAGAAGCAAGCTGAGCAGCTTGCAATACACCAACCACTGGTATTGTAAACATGCTAAACTGAGTTACCAGCCTGCAAATTATGGAAGTTAATGTTACTAAGAATAAACTCAGATTAGATTAAAAAAAAAAAAAAAAAGGCTGCGACCGTAAGTTTTGTTTCTTCATAGAAGGGGCAAAGTCTTAACAAGAAGAGGTTTAGTCCCTCAGGGGCGCAGCGGTTTCCAGTCCTGCGGTTTTCTGCGGTTTGCAGGAGTCGGGGCGCTGGCAGCCCGCAGCCGAGGGACAAAGGCAGCCCGGGGAAGGTGCGCTGCTGCAGTCACAGGAGTAGGGAACTGCCCTTCTGTTGAGACCGGGGGATTGCAGGAGACAAACCCTCCACGCTCAGTTTCCCAGTCAAATTTCTACACGCCCGTTAACCCCCCCCGATTTCCTGGCCTAAGGACGGGGTTTGACCTTGAACGCAGAAGATGCTCGCGGA